GTGGAGGCGGAGGAGGGGGAACAACAGGACCTGGGGGAGGAGGAAACCTCTATAGAAGCGGTGGTAATATAGGAGGACATCCTGGAGGGCACCGGGTGGGACCCAACTCTTCCTCTCACGGTGGGTCCTCAAAAGTCCTCGGCCTCAGCTCGAAAGCAGCAAGGCGCACCACAGACCTCTGGGGCCAAGGACTTTGGCAGGGGAGGAAATGGAGCCGAGAAGAAAGAGAAGATTGCTGATGCAAGTCAAACTCAAAGCCAGGGGTCCAATCCCCCTCAGCCGCTCTTGCCCGCCGCAGCTCCCGCCTCCTCAGCCTCCACTGAAAATGGAGTTGTAACTCAGCATGCTTTAACCAATCCGACCCAAAACTCCAGAGGGCCAAATGCGCTCCCTCTTCCCACTAACCGTGAGTTCCCCCCCAGCGGGTTTGAGCGACCACCTAGACGTCGGCGTCACGGGCGATCCCAGCATCAGCAGGATAAGCCCCCCCGCTTCCGGAGGCTGAAGGAGCGCGAGAATGCCGCACGAATCAACGGAGGAGTGGGGGTCATCGGAGGAGGACGGCCCTCCTCTCCTGCTCTGAATTCGGTTCAGGACAGTAACGGAGCCCCCGTCTCTGCTCCTGTGACGAGCAATGCCCAAAATGCTAACCACAACAACGCATTAATAGCCAACAATAACAGCGGCGGCGGGCATGTTAACAATGCAAATAGCCACCACCATCACCACTACAACCAGGGCAACGCTGCACAGACCCACCACCAGAGCCACGGAGCAAAGTCCCCCGACTTCACCAACCAGAACTCTGACCAGGCCAACGAGGAGTGGGAGACCGCTTCTGAGAGCAGCGACTTCACAGAGTTCAGAGACAGGGAGGGAGGTGGGGGGAAGTCCTATCCTTCTCACCATCCCCACCACCTGGGAAGGGGGGAGGAGGTGGAGGTGCCGTCGACCGCGACATGGCAGGAAAGGAGCCCTTGGCTAATAAAAGAAGCTTCTCTAGCCAGCGTCCTGGCATGGAACGACAGAACCGGAGGGTCAACCCTGGAGGAGGTGGAGGTGGAGGAAGAGGCCCACGGGGGCCGCCCGGTGGCGGCTCTGGCGGGCCTGGTAGTGGTGGTGGCTGGCAACCGCGGGGATCGGCGTGGCAACTGGCCCTCCCCAAAGAACCGGAAGTGATGAAATATTTCAAAACTTTTCAGATGAATCCCACCCACATTAAAACCACCCTCTCACGTCTAATCCCTTTTGATAACTTCATGGTTTATGTTGGCATCCCTCAGCCTATTAGTGCGTTGTACAGTCAATGGAGATGGTATTGAAATTCACCTCAGACACCCCCCCCCCCCCCCCATACGCCCCCGGTCACGTCTTTCAATCTACTATCTACCGTCCGTTATTGTGCATTTTTCTGTTTGTTCCCTCTTGCTCTCTGTTAAGTTCCCCTCCCTCCCTCAATAATTTCACCCCAGTTGGATTCGACGAGCATGCGGTTCTGCAAATGGTGCACGTTGTTTTGTCAGAGGACATTCACACAAAGCCACACACACACACCTGCATATACAAGCACAAATATGACATCTTTACAAACACACAGAACACATTCAGTCATGTGTTTGCAGAATGATAACATTTGAATTGGCGGAAATGTTTGGATTGGACAAATTTTTATATTTATGTACCTGTGTATATTTCTACCACACTTTGGCCTTGGGTGGTATTAGGTAGTGCAGTTCTGCATTACTTCCCTCACAAAGGGAAAGAGTGCAGCTTCATATTTTAACAAGAACAATGTACCATAACATGTTTTGTTTTCTGTCTTTTTCTTCTGGCCTTGTGTCGAGTTGAGTTTCAGCCTCTAGGAAATGTTAGGGGTGTTTGTTTTTTCTTTCTAAAAAGCAGGTCATTAAAATACCTTTTTTTTTTAAATCAAAATTCCCAAATTCCTCCTTTTACTGACCTTTTGGTCTCCCACAAAGTATTTCTCTTGATTGCTACGTGTGACAGGACTGACGTACTACTTATCAGTGCTCCACATGGGTGACCTGCTCAGACATTTAATTAGAAATTGCTTGGTCCTTTTTTGTTTTTTAGAAAATAAAGGCTTTTTCTGCCTCATTGTAGCATCTTCCTTACCTGCAGAGGTTCTGCATAACTCAAAAGTTTTATTCTCTCATGTGAGCTTTGTTTACCCAATGAAGACTGTATTGCTAGCTTAATGGCTTCATTTTAACATCCATTATTTCCTCAGTGTTCCATTTTTATAGGAACGCTGGAGGGGCTCTCTCTCGGAGGATGAAATACCTATCAATCTTGTAAGAGGGGGGAAAAAATGTTGAATAAACATGTAGGATATAATAGAATAAAGAAACGTTTTCATAAAAATTGTCTATGCTTTCAATAGCTATTTGAATATGTTCTAATAAGCACTCCTTGTAGTATATCAAAAACCCACGGTTGCTGTTTCAAATGTTGTTTTTTGTTGTTGTTTTTTTTTTTTTTGTGTGTGTGTGCAAGTTACTTGTGACGCAACCGGACAGGTACTCTGTCTGGGCCCAGAGTACAGAGCCAGCCCGAGTATTGTACCGTTTATACTGCACCCCTCTGTGCTCTCGTCTCCTCACACCAAGAAAGAACTATACTACAGAGAGATCCTTTTTCTGAGGCAGTATTTAATTTTTTTTCCAACATGCGTGTTCTCCTAATTGCCGTTTCCATACATGTTGGCAACCAGAAGCCCAAACTAATTGAATTCAGGTCAATGCTGACGAGCTGTCACGCGAGTCTGCTAACAGAAAACACGGTTTCCGAGGGTTCACTTGCAGGAAATAACGCCAACCTGGAGTGTTGAGAAAATATTTGGATAAAACTTGTTTGTATCGTACATAGAAGACGTAAAATGGCACACAGAGACATCGACAAGCGATTTTTACACCTGCATCAATTCTTACACTGCTGTAAGTTGGGGTTTGTGTTTGTATTCTGAAAACAGTTTGAAATCGTCTCTGGGATGTTGTGAGTAGGGCATTTGATTTTGTGTATGTGTGCGTGTGTGTGGCATGTGTGCGTTTTTCTGCTGTTTGTGTAATAACTCGGGGAAAGGGGGGGTGGACCAGAGGGGTTATCATGAATGGCAAGCACTTTCTGCCTTGCTTGCCCACACTTGATTTAGCGAATATCATTCAGACAATTCTGTTTCTTAAATACATCCGCGTGTGTACATCCAGCTGTGTGTTTGTGATCATCATCCAAGTGAATAACAAGCAGCAGACGACCTCACCCGTTACAGTTCTTTTATCGTGTGTCATTTAACCATACGTTCTTCTGCAGGCAAGTGAAGCTGGACATGTTTTAATTTTCTCACTTCTCAGCGTGAACACGCACCCACGGGTGCTGCTTGCCTTGCCTGCATACATTGATCCACTTAACGCTGGCTCAAAGAGTCCTTCATCCCTTAACTCTTAATGTTGATGTGCACATTATTTTATGTACCCGAGCTAAACGAAAAACAAGTGTGTTCCAGGAAAAAAATATTCAAAGATTGTACTGTTTCCAGCATTACTAAGGTACCTGGAGTGGTTCGACTTTTTCTTTTTGACCCATTTGTGGTTTTATTAATGGAACCATAATATACACACGTGTATGTATATTGGTATGTATCTAAGTTTTGTCTACCCCAACTTACATTCCCACAAACAAATGTTGCCATGTTTAGTTCAAGGGAGCAATGTACAAGCAGAGAAGTGTCTTATTATAATAAAATTATACAGAGAAGGCAAAGTTAAATAAACTACTTTTGATTTAATGGAAAATATAATGACATGTCTCATTCTTGGAATATGATGAAAGAACTCTGAGTGTTGTTTTGACGTTGCAGGAAAATTGGTATCACTAATGATTCTATGTGTGTCTACCAGTGAGACCGCCCCATAGGAATGCAGCTGTTAAGCAAACACACTAATAAACTAAAATAAACAGCTGTAGTCTGCCAATTTCCCATTTAAGAATAAGTGTTCAGCAGTAGCAGCAAATATAATCCCTTATTATACCCTCTTAACTACCACGGTACCTTCTTCATGAAGTCATCGCAACGTATACAAGAAACTAATGGTTTTATATTTGTATCTTAACAATTGTATTTATTTTGTTTGCAATTCAACAAAAAAAGTTAAATTGCCGTAATTGTAATAGAATCACTCCTTAATGCCCTCGAAATGGGACTCTGAGGACCCTGCGGCATCCATATGTTGGTTTATCATGCCGTCCACGTGCCAGGAAGGGTTGCGTTTTTTGGGTGGTCATTGGTACCCCAATTCTTGTGAACATGATATCTCAGAAAAGCATGGAGGGAATTTCTTCAGATTGTGCTAAAAATGTTGACTTTGAGTCAACATTGAATCAACGTGTTTCGTAAGGAGACCTTCCTTACAAAACACAATTCTGGCCATAACGCCATCACTTGTGGAAAGCTGAGGCATTAAATTGCGAGAGGAAATTGAGAGGTAGATAAATGTTATTATGCCTAAAGACTTCAGGGTTTACATTAGATTTGTGAGTCGATTAACATAGGGCGTTATTTTCTATGGAGCTATATACTGTATTTCTTCTACAGGATTACCTTGAAGAAACAACAGCATTTGACTAGTTTAGTGGGATTATTTTGTTTAGTCTTTAAAATTATATTTGCATGACATGCTACCGACAGTAACTGGAATAAGTGTCTAGTTAGTAATGCATGCGGTACGTTGACTACAAAAAGGTTTGTCACCCAACGACAAAATCAACGTAAACTATCCATAAAAAAGGCACAAAACATTTACAAGTTGCCATTTCATCGGTTTTACAATAGTGAAACTATAAGTATAGTAAGTATTTTGCAAAAAGGAAAGGGTGAAGGCAGGAGGAGCAGGTGCTGGCCGTGTGAGCACACCTCGTGTAGTACTGGATGTGAACAGTAGGAGGCAGCAGTGCATCGTTGGCGCGGAACAGCGCCTCCGAGTCCCGGGAGGAAGAGGAAGGACGCAACCTACAGGGTGAACTGGGAGGTGGTGTCCATCTTATTTACACCGGTGTGATTGCTACATTTTTGATCTTTAGGATTTTTGAAGGACTATAAAAGTTGAAATCCGGGTAGGTTTGTTGAATCGCCCACGCAACTGCATCCAGACGTTTAGACGCAGAGGCACAGCGCGCTGCAGTAAACGGGTTTTCTAATGGGGCCTGTTTTCTTTTAGCGATGCGCCATATTGAATTTCATGTTGGCTATTAGCCGCTAGCGGGGTTTAGCTTGGCGAGCTAACGTTGATTACATCAACCGGGTTTTCTCGCGTATAGCCAAACCATAACGTTACATTCAACACCAGACGTACACGGTTCGATATACGTATTTGAAAGCCAGACTAAATCAAAATATATTTTAAAGACTACTTTTTAAAAACATTTTTTGAGAAATTATTGCTAGGTAGGTAGCCTAGCCTCTGCCGGGTTTGGCTAGCAGCTATTGCTTCATACAGCCAACCTTAGCGTTAAGCTACTACTGTGAGTTTATGAAAATATTTATAAAGACTCCGGTGAGTTGTGGGTATGATTTTAACACTGACTGTTTTACTCATAGCTATTAACGTCATGCTACAGAGAGTGGGAATGCCGTGTTGATTAGTTAGCCTAACGCTAATTGATTTATTTTTGGATCATGTCTTATTTTGGCCTCTCCTTTTCATAGGTCTTCAGAGATGAGCAGTTCAGAAGAAGTGTCATGGATCTCCTGGTTCTGTGGACTGAGGGGGAATGAGTTCTTCTGTGAAGTGAGTTTCCTTGTCTGATTCGTCTTCGTATGTTAACTAGTGCCTTTCCCGCAGTGACATTGTCTGAATTAAGTGCACATGTTATTGGTAACATAACTAAAGAGTCGTTTATTCCTTCTTACCGTCATTTTCACTACACGCTCGGGGCACAGCCAGATGAATCCCTCATCTAGAATGTCATCACGTTAGCTGAAATACGAGTACATCAATAAACTATTTGTCACTTCATTAAAGTATCGTCAATGTGAACGACACAACAAATTGCCTTGATTGTTGCAGATTTGATCAGAGCTTATCTTATGTCAGGCATCTGCGGTATGTTTGCTCTCTGATTGAGAAGTGTTGCTGCTACTTCCTTTGCAGTTAATATTAAATTGCACTTGATCATTTTGTTCTGCTTGAATCCACTTATTGTAGTTCTCTTTGGCTAAATGAAAGTGTGTATTGTTATTAAAGTAGGTTCACTGTTTTTCAGGTTTAGCCTAAAACTAAATACTCCCAATAGCTACGTTTACTTCAAAAGAGTTAGTGGTATTTCTAATATTTCCCATCGTAATGTAACTCTAGTTTGATGACGGCCACTAATTACGCCTTGAATGTACTTTTTTTGCATTGACTTTATAAAGCATGGATTGATCCTGTTGGATGTCATGCTAAATAATTTCAGATGATCAGTTTTGTCATTTTATTTCCTCAATTGAAGGTGGATGAAGACTACATCCAGGACAAGTTTAATCTCACTGGCCTCAATGAGCAGGTTCCACACTACCGCCAGGCCCTCGACATGATCCTGGACCTCGAGCCAGGTGCGTATCTTATCATATTATACCTTCAAGGTTCCTTCTAGGTTGTTTGAGACGTAGGATAATTGTCTACACAGGAGAGACAATTGGACCAAGCAGCAGAAGTGCATTTCAACCGCTTTAAAAACTGAAGGCTGAAATGGAACGCTGATCCAGAGCTTAATGAGTAGTTTCGTCTATGTGATAAAAGAAATGTGTTGAGTGATCCTTCATTTAATGTGATGCTCCTCTTTGAGATTGTTCATGCTGAGCACTGTGCCACATGTCATCCATCAAACAAAGTGACTGTGGACATTTGATCTCAGCAGTCCTTTGTTTTAAGGCTGTTGACCCTGCGGAGCTGCTGTGGCAGCGGTTTCTCTCCAGATTACACATTTCTGAAACCCTATTGATGACATGACACAAGTATTGCGTGTCACAAGAGCATTCCTTCTGTTTGCATTCCCTGTGCTTTTTGAAAATGTGTTTCATTTCTGTAATATGTCAAAAAAGAAAAGTGGACACTGACCATATTCTCCGTTGCCTTTTGTCTTCAGATGAGGAGCTGGAGGACAATCCCAACCAGAGTGACCTGATCGAGCAGGCAGCTGAGATGCTGTATGGCCTCATCCACGCCCGCTACATCCTCACCAATCGAGGCATCGCACAGATGGTAGGCGCCAGATGCGTCTGCAAAAAAAGGAGATGTAGAGCTGATATGATTAGTAGAATGTTGTGTCATCAAAGAGGAGGTGGACAAACTTGACTGTTTGCATCCTAAACACAAAAATGTCACAACACAATGTGTGGTCGCACACTTCTGTGGTTGCAGGACATATGTTCCCAGTACGGTATTTACTTATTGTGATCTTTACTGTAATAACTGAATAAGCACTCATTGTAAAGCAACGTCAATTGATAAATGACTGTTTACCACCTGTAAATATTTGTTTAGTATAATAATGGGTTGTTCGCCTTTGCAGTTGGAGAAGTATCAACAGGGAGATTTTGGCTACTGCCCCCGAGTCTATTGTGAGAATCAGCCAATGCTTCCTATCGGTAAGTAAAAGGGTCAATTCTTTAACATGAACCACCATGTTTTTCTAGACAGTCTAAAGCAACGTACCTTACCTGGATGGTAATTATGAAAATGTGGTGCTAAACAATTTTTCACCACATAAAGTCTTACTTTGCGATCAAATAGTGTTCAGGGATGTAGCCACGTTTTTTTTTTTTCATGGGTTTTGTCGATTTACGGAGCCAATAGGAAGTACATGCGCTCTAACAGCAGCGTTCCAGTGGGGTCTCCGTCTGAGATGCTGCAGATTCATTTCCTCTTTTTCCCTCCGTCGCCCCACAGGTCTGTCAGACATCCCCGGAGAGGCCATGGTAAAGCTGTACTGTCCTAAATGTATGGACGTCTACACGCCCAAATCCTCAAGGCACCACCACACAGATGGAGCCTATTTTGGCACCGGCTTCCCCCACATGCTCTTCATGGTTCACCCTGAGTACAGGCCCAAGAGGCCCGCCAATCAGTTTGTCCCAAGGTTTGTACCGCGGAGATGTGTTGCTGATGATTGTGGTCATTTTAATCAGGATGATGCAGCTTTCTCTAGTTGGATTCTGAATCCTCATTGTTTTATCTATAAAATGTCATTTTTTAAATTACTCCTCAAATGACATAACACATTGGTTGTTTTGTCAGACCATCCCTCTATAACCTAAAGATTATCAGAGTTTGGTCAACTGAGAAAAGACACTTGTCACAATTTAGAAGCAGGAATCTAGGAATAAAGAAATGATTGTTATCAAAATATAACTGCTGTAGAGAATTTGATGCCACACGTAGGTTTAACATTTACCGCAGATTGCTGATGACTCTTTTAAGGTGTGCACCCAATTCTATTTGCTCACATGCTTTTCTTGCATCACATTTCATTCTGTTAAGACCCACGTTAACAGAAACCGTCACATGTTTGGGTGTAGTGATGGGAAACAACCACAGCTTAAGACTACATTGCTGAAGAAATGCTCACTGGTTCATTACTGTCTTCTTCCTCCAGGCTGTACGGGTTCAAGATCCACCCCATGGCCTACCAGCTGCAGCTGCAAGCCGCCTCCAGCTTCAAGAGCCCTGTCAAGGCCATCCGCTAGAGCGGCCCGCACCGGGAGGAAGACGAGGAGGAAGATCAGTCGAGAAAGAGGACGAAGACGGGAAAGAATTATCACCAGATGGGGAGGGGTCACCTGCATTCTACACAGCTTTTCAGGTGCCCCCTCCCCACCCGGAAGACTGTATTATTTTGGTTTAGATTGGGGCAAATGAAAAAACAAATCAAGAGTGTGAGCGAGAGAGAAAAACGCACAGCCATGATATATAAATCGCAAGCCAACACACACGTGCACCCGTACATTTATCAACACGTAGATCCACACACGTGGGATTCCACACACGTACCTTACCAAACTCATCAGTGCCAAAAACAGGAGGACAAGGTGAGCGGAAGCTGAACAATCCTGGCCTCCACGCTGCTGCTGTTCACTCTGCTGTCCGAACCGGTGGGTGACGCTACGAGGAGCTTCGCCCCGTAGAGAAGCTTTTATGTTCAGGTCTGAGTGAATCAAAGCGTTTGTTTATTCTGTATTTGGCACAGTTTGGTAAAGGGTGGTGGCAAACCCTCCATCATTTGAAGCCTCCTGTCCCCACTAGCAAAGAACCCCCCCCCGCCCCTTCAAACACCCCCCCTCCCCTGCACCTCCCTAGATGCATGTACAGACTGGCACCCGCAGAGACAGTTTGGACTGTGTGTTTTCCTGCATCACTCGGCAGGTATTGCGGCGCTGTTGAACGAAGCGTTCTGTTAAATTTGCCTTAAGATTAAAAAAAAAAAATAGATTTTTTGTATTTTAAGGGGCACAAGCCGCAGTACTTTTTTTTTTTTTTTCCCTGTACGAGGCAGCAAGGTAGAAACAGCTGAAGCAAACACAAACTCTCAACGTTTAATTGTAATCAGCCCGCTTCATTTCTCCAGCTGCCTGTGCGTGTGTCAAACATCTGTGCGTATCGGTACCGAAGTGAAAAATAAACTGTCCTCCATTTTTCTGAGACGTTCCCCGTAGCTTCATCTTGAAATCGTTTTGACATTTTGGGAAAGCTTTCCGGTGGGTGATGATGTGAAGCCGCCACCAGCGGATGGTTAGTTTCACTTGAGCGGAAATGGTTTCCAGTTCTTTCCAAGCATCCCACAATCCTCCTGCCAACACACTTCAAACCCACTAATCAACCAATTGGATCTTGTTGGTGTTTTTGCCAAACTGAATCCTTTTTGAATCCTCGGCATACTAAATGGTGAAGCGGTGTTCCTGTCTAGAACCGTCTTCACACCGTCTGCAGGCAAACAAGCTGGTCATTATTGAGCTTCGGAGGTGTTTGTAGGCAGATTTTATTCCCGTCGGACCGAGCCACAATGGCCGCTTCCCCGTTTGCAGTGTTTTTAGTTCAGCCGACCTGCAGCTGGTTGCAGCTTCTTATCAAGCGCACAGATACAAGGAAATGTGTCCCGAAATGTCAAAGCATCCGTGTACAAATTCAGGAGGCAACCCGGTGAAAGAGGAATTTCGACAATCTGAATCCTTCAGCTCACTCCACCACTGCACTGACCCCCCCTGGTGTCTCCCCACAGCAGTCTTGTTATTTATGTTCCGCTTTAGAGACAGACCGACCAGCCGCTTACTCCTTTGTTTCTGAAGCAGTGGGACAGACGCTCAGCTGTCCCGTCCTCCTTCCCCTCTTTTACGTTTGTGTGACTGGAATAGATAGTTTTTGGATTTCATGATACAAGAGAAACGGTATTTATGTGTCCAGATTTTAACTGATGTTTGTGTTGTCTTTCTGCTACTGTGGAAGGGTGAGCAGGATTCAGACTTCTCAATAAACTTCTATTTTCTTTTCATAATCTTTTCGCACTTCCTTTTATTTTACCGCTGCAGCTGCACCGCCCTGCCCCACGGTGTCAGCAGAGAACTCGGTGTTACGGCCTCGCTCTGTTTTTCTAACTTTTTACATTTACTCAGGCACTGCTAGTGAGTTTTATATCAACTTTAATATCAAAGGATAATGCAACGCGGCAGCACTTTAACACTCAACTGCTCCTGCGTTGTTTTTGAGCTTCTGGGGGACTTGCTGTGGCAACGCAGGGATTGTGGGTGTGGTGACTGAGTAACAGCATCGACTGCAACACAACAACAACAACAAACGCACTCAAAGACAAACCATGTAACTGAATTGAGAAGTTCATGATCTCACAGTAAAGCTTTTGTCGTTTTATCTTTAAATCAGCTTTTTGGTGTCCCTTTAGTCATGTTCCTGGGTACCACATACACACATGCCCAGTCTGTGCCAGAGTAACACACAGCTGTTGTTGAGAGAAAGGTACTGCTTTAGTATTTGTAAAGTGAAGTGTACCGCTGTCAGGTGACTTCCTGGTTATCTGTTTATCTTTATCGTTGAGTTTATTAAAGGCTCGGCAGCATTGGAGTGTAAGTAATGTGTGTGTGAGGAGAAGAAAAGCAAAGAAACAGGCCGCTTTGTAGAGCGAAAAAAAAAGGGATCTGAACGTTGAGACAAAGCCTGCGGCAGCCAGAAGGAGGAAGGTTTGTAACACAACCTGCGCTTGGTGTCCGCCAATGGCGCTGACGTGTGCGCCGAGTCGCACACAAACGTGTTGAAATTTAGGAAGTTCCGGAGAAGTTTAACACCCTGTGACTCTCGGGCCGCTTCTCTGACATTTTGTCTTTCTTTTCAGACCTCTTTGTTTTTTGTAAACCACCGAAAAGTTGGATAAGAGTTTAAATTAGAATAAATTGATTTTCCATCTTTAAAACACCCGTCTTCAATTGTATTCAACCCTGCGTCTAGGTGTGCGTTTCTGAGGGTGCCGTCTAAGAACCACCGCAGGCCGCCTGAGGAGGGACGCCCGCCCCGCCGCATTAACCTTTGAGAACACTATTTTGCGTGTGACTCAATGTTTTTCCCCTTATGCAAGGCAGCTCTCCTTGGTCCGCGGGACCGACTTCTCCATGCGGCCGTGCCCCCGTCAGTTTTTCCACAGGGAGAAGAGGAGGAGGCTCCTTCGTGACTCAGGGTAACCTCAAGCCGCAGCTCGGGACCTGCCCTCTTCTTCCTCCTCCTCCTCCTCCTCCTCCTCAGTCGCTGTCGTCCAACTCATTTTAACTGCGGCCCCGTTTCTTTTCCTGCATGCCGAGCGTCTCTCGGGTGAAAGGTGTCTTTGTGAAGACCGGCAAACAACCCCCCCCCCCCCACACACACACACACACAATGTGGCAGGAAATCAGACTCTTATCACGTCTGCTGTTCTCAACTCCACCTGTGCTTTGCCAACACCCAGAGGCCACATTGCGGACGTTTCCCTCTGCAGACGCTGTTGTGAGGAGGCCTCTTCACGACGCACACTACTGTTGAGGTGGTGTGCCAGCCGGGGAGACCGCACGGCAAAAAAACCACCCCTCAAAACGTGTTGTCGAGGGAAAATATGCGTTTTTCGGCGGCTTTAGTCTCCACGTGTGATGCTTCAGTCCCTGTTGGTGTTGTGAAAGGAATGTTGCAAATTCAGGTCATTAAAGCTCAAACTTGACGAGGCACGTCGAAGCTGATAGCACTCAGTTTGGTAACTTTGCCTCTGATCGAGCCTTTAGGAAGAGCACCTCTTGGAAGTCTTCATGTTTCGTAACAGATTGCAGATTTTTTTGACCAACGTCAAACTCAAAAAGACAAACAAACAACAACTCGGAGTCAAGCGCTCACGGCCTTGAGTCCGAGTCAGCTTCCTACATGTGGATACGGCGTTTTTTTCCCCCCCCATTTGACTTTGCGAGTCGGCTCCAGCTCTGTGGGGTTGCAGACTCCTGTCTTGGGGCTTGATGTGTGGACTCTGACTCAGACACTCCAGAGGGTTCGCTTTGTTGATTCTTGGGCGGTTCCTCACAACTTCGCCCAAGTGGCATGTTTCTGGCACACGGCATCATATTTTCCTGCAGGATGTTCCTGTTTTTTTTGACACTCTCACTAAATTCTTTTGACTGGGAAACAGATTTAATGGTTTTTATGCAGATTAATTTTGAAACGTCACACACACACACACAGCAAAGTATTTCAAAACAATGACTGTGAAGAACTGTTGTCAAACCAAAGCAAACGCCTTTTTACAAGTCCCAGAATCATTACACTACAACAAATATTCCCACTAACCCAAAACGTTACTAAGTCCTTCAACTAAGTATCCTCTTGTCATTCATTCCCTAAACGCTTTTGTTGCCTCCCTCTAAGGGCGTTTGCAAACACTGGGAGACAAACAGAGATGGACAGAAGAGCCCCGGGAAGCAACTCAGGGCAGGAACAGACTTGCTCCTGCAAAAATATTCACCTAATCCGAAGTCGGCACAAGAAAATAAATTTCTAGTCACCGTCTCAGTTACCAGGAGGCCTCTCTTCCTCGTTTATGTCCGGATTAAACCAGTTTTCAACTTGGACATCACTGGACAAGACCGTATAATGTTTTAGTAACAAAGAGCCGTTTCTATAGCTTGTGCACACTGCAAACATGTCTGTTTACCCTGTACATGTATAAGTATTTCCCCATCAAAATTGCAATAAATATGTTGTGTGTCCATGTTTTATTGAGGTTGGAGACATTGCGGTGTTTGCAGCGTTGTTGATGTTCCACCTTTTTTTTTTTTGACAAGCTGTGTTGCTCCTTTGTTCCTTTACTCTTGATAGCCAAATTATTTTTGTTAGTCAACTATGAACCTATTTTTCACAAACAGGAATTCTTCATACTGCGTTTTCACGCACAGGTTTAAACACGTTATTTAGTGAATATTATTTTCACAATTGAAATCATGTTTTGCAGAAGTGCAGCACGCACAGCTCGATAATATGAGCTGTTACTTGTGTACTGTTAGCGGCGAGAACCGGTTTTCCACACTGAGTTTACTGCCTCAAGGAAAACCTTTGATTGTACTCTCCGATTTGAATCTAATCATTTCATCAGGACTCAATCAGGACTTTCCTTTTCTTATTGCCTCTTGTGAAGTCGTCAGTCAGGCTGTGGACATTTTTCATTTGGCTAATGTTTTCATCCAGAGCGCCTAACAATAATTCAACCGTCAAAGCAGAGTTTATTAGTAAGTGCCACTAAGGCCCAGGTGTGTTTTTACTTTGCACTGAAAGCTGTATAGGCTTTTGTTTATAACGTAAAATATCAGTTCTCTGACTGAAAATAAAAATAATTTCAGAGCAACCACGACACGAGGCTGTAGCTGCAATTTCATTTCCTACTTTTTCAACTTCACTGACTTTGACATTAACGCACGCACACGCACCGCAGCAGATGACAATACACTGTGTGCTGTGTTTACTTGGCCACTTTGAATAAAAGGTGCCAACCGTGAGTAACTTCAGCAGGAGGACAAATAAGATAAGATAAGCTTAAATCTGAATTAGCTTCCCCTTTCGCCACTACAATGGATTCAAGTCAGAGGTGGAAAAAAAAGCATCCTTCACTTAAGTGAACAAGCTCGGGAATCACACTTCATGTATTTAATCATCTTATATATTTTTGTAAGTAGACAGCAGATGAAAATTACAATATTGTCCTCCGAAACAAAGCAACCGTATAGAGAACAGAGCTTGGATGAATAGTGTTCTTGCACCATGCATTAGAAACACATCTAAGTGTGTGGCAATGACACCCGAGGGGTTGAATACAAAAATGTTGCCGTAAAATACCTAATCTCATCTTTTCCAGCTTTCCCAGAACTTCCTGCTCTCGCCCTTCACACACACACACACACACACACACACACACACACGCACACACACGCACCTGTGATTCATCCAGGTGGGAGAGCGCGCAGGACACGCGGGGCCCTGATTGGATAACGGTGACGTTTGGCTCGAAGGTGGAACGTTATAAAAAGTGGAGGAAACCGTTTTCCTGCTCAGACATCATAACGGTTTGATTCCTCCAGCAGCTCCTCCTGAATCCCGGTGGCCTCGTCTCGCTCCTCTTCCTCAAGATGAACAGAATTATTCTCCAGCTTGTTGCTGTCGGATTCTGCTTTGCAGTCGGTAGGAAAATGCTCTAAATGAATAAACGTTATATATTTATTTCTTCATTTATTTCGACGTCCTCTGTTTCCACTATTTCGAAGCGTGTAACTTTTTTAAAATCACCTAAAGTAGCATTTATTAAAACGAATGTTGCAAAGAGTTTTAAATAAGCTAGAAATGTGCGTTTTCCTGCTCGGAGTTTGGTATGAATCCGTTTTATTGAGGTTCGATTCCCGTTCGAGCGCCACGGTAGTTTTCGGGAATAAAACATTTTTTTGTAGATCAGATAATATTTAATCTACATTTCCATTGTACGTGGATTTTGTGTTCTAAACGCGAGGAATCCAATCGTTTAACCCTGATCAGATTGCGCTAAAACCGCTGTGTGACTCCGGGTGTGTCTGTTACGTGTATCTGCTCATTCTGAGGTGTTGAGCTTCACCAGAGCTTCTGGGCTGTGGTTCCACTGGGCGTGTTCACTGTGCACCAGCAGGGACTAAATGGGACATTTGTACTTCTTATATGACTTTTTTTCCCCCCCCCCCTCCTGCTTTAATAGTTGCAATAACTCATTGTGTCTCTTTAAGATGAGTTGTGGTAAAAACATCACTGTTTGCAATCGAAGGGTTTGAAATAATAATGCATAGTTTGCCTAAAGTAGCCTGAACAAATGGATGGTTAAAAATACAATCCGTTGAAATGACCCGCAAGGAGTAATGGCTAAATATTTGATCAAGTTTTGTTGAAAGTAAGCGATGACCAGTTCAATCGATTGGACGACAAACATCCAAATAACTGCTTTGAACTTGTGTTTTGAGCATTGATACGGTTCTGCATTCCACCTACTGAATGTGGATCGTAGACAATGTGGTCATTCTTTGTGAAGGAATGTTTTTGTTGGACTTTTTACAGGGTTCAGCAGAAGTTCCCACAGGTGAAACAAATGGCTGCATAGTTTTCCAGGTTACTCTGCACATCCCAGGGCTCTGCTCTGACGTCGTCATTTTAATTGATTCCCCCCCAGGCAGACATTCAAAAACTGCATCCTACACCTAAACAATGGCATGAGAAATGACCCACCTTGTGGCAGTGTCAGGTTCCTCTTCTATAGAATGTCTACGGACTGGATGCACCATATTGTGCATCCAGTCGATCGTTCTGCCCCCTGGACGATGTAACCTGGCGTTTCGGTCTTGTGTTTCAAACCACACCTTAGGGAGCTGCAATGTCATTGTGACTGCTTTTAAAAAAGGTAAACACTTTAGTTTTTTTTTTTTCCCCCCAAATGGAGACGATTACATGCTGCGTTTCTACATGACTGTACAAGTGACCAAGAAGGGTGAACCTGTGTGGGCTCCCAGGGAGGATGCAGGTGGCGGTGTTGGTGGTGTCTCACGCTACTGAGGTTTCCTCAAGCAGAACAAAAAAATGCACCAAACTCCTTTAAAAAGTGTCAGGAGCCTAAATTTGTCACACTGGGAGGTGTTGACCCCTTTTTTCTGTATGCCTGTTTTTTTTTTTCCTTTTTGCAATGTGCTATAGTAAATGCATGTTTTACTTTAAAGCATTAAAATAAGACTTTTCCAAAGGATTTTAATATCTCGATCACAAACATTTAACAGGAATACTCCCATCAGTGACGCTTCGGGCAGGCCGTATTTACACAACACACCTAGCAGGTGTTGTATGTAACCATAATTACTTTCTCAAGCCGATTGCAGTATCCACATATTTACCCTCCCATTGCTTTCATTCACTTGTTTGCACAGTTTTCTAATGAGATTCTCATGTCAGCGTCGATGCTCAGCGGCACTGTTACTTGTAAAGCCCAACGTCAGAGCTGTGAGTCCTCTGCAGCCACGAATGTTCCTGTTCTGTAGTGCTGGATTTAACAAACCGCTGGCTTTCTTTTACTTTTCTCTCTCCTGTGTTTTGGGTTGCACGACATGTTTTTGTGAAGTGTTGCTGTGTAGTTTGCGCTGCGGGGCCGCAGAGGGCAGTGTAGGCCGACGCTGCACATCGAGAGGATTATGTAACGTCTGACACACCCAGAGTCCTTGTTATCAAACTGGATGTTAAAGTTGGCTACTTTTGCTCTGTTTTGGGAAGAACTCTCTGGGATAATGAAATATTATCATTAAAGGGCACTTCGCTAATTAGCTAACGCTAATTAAAATGTTAGGGTAAATTGAAAGTTTCCCTACTTTAATGTATAAAAGTATTTCAACAAGGAGCCTTCAATCTGTAGAACCATATCAAACATTAACATACAGAACTAGATGAAGAAAATATTCTTACAGTAAATGTTCTGTCGCTTTCCTGCATTTCACTCACAATAGGTGTACATAAACTGTTACAAAACAGTTTTATTACACAAAGGACTTTTGAATAATTGCTGCATTTGAAATCCAAACCTCTACCTGTAACCACAGTATTTATACAATGTTTCTTTGCTACTTAACAAATTGACAAACAAGGCTCCGATTACTTGGCCAACCCCTGCCTGTTACTGGGCCTCTATTGAAAGGCTGGACGCTTCTTGCTGTGTTATTCACTAGTGCACGAGGTATCAAGTCGTCAATAATGCTTTAGGAGATGACGCCAAAGTAAACCTCAGGAATTCCCTGTGAGGAACTAAGTGTTCTTTCCCTCCATTGCACAACGTGCTTTAACAAGAACAAAGCCTTCTCCACGGTGACATAATCCTAAAAATATGTAACGCGTTTTTTTTTTTTTCACATGTCAAACTTCAATGCATGCACCTGTTTTTGTATGATATAAAATGTTACTTTATCTTTAAGGAAACCTTCTGTTTACACAATGCTTTGCAGACACGGGGAGAGAAGACCGAACCAATTATGTTGAGACCCTTCAGTGAACAAACACTGATTGGACATCATTAGGATGTACAGTTCCCTTGTTTTACCACCAGACGATTGTAGTGTTTATGGATTAGTTGGACCGGTCAGTCAGGTCTGTCTGCATTTCCAAGTGCTGAAGTGTTTCATGGTTTGATGACACGCGTGAAACTCCTGTTTTGAATTTTCTGCGAACTGCCATAAGCATTGTGTTCTATTTCTTAATAAGGCAACTCGTCAGTCGGCTCTACTGGTATTATCTTTGTGTATACTTTTAAAGGTATTGGACATTTTGCCTCACAGATTAAGAGCTCACTATTAATCCTAAACCAAATATATTTACTTATTCACAAATGTGTGAGAATGTAGGGTCAATAAAGGTGGTCACGTCATGGGGATTGTCGGCTCCTCTTAAATTTGGGTGTACCCCGAAACTGATGGTGGGTGGGGATGTTTGTGTATAAGGGTGTTGGCATTTTGTTTTTTTAAATGCATTACCCAAGATCAGGTTTTATGTATACATCTGACTCCTTTTGTTTTCCGTCTGTTCTGGAGTTGAAGTGAATTTTGGTCGTTTCTCCACTTTTTGCTAGTTGTAAATGTAGTGGGACACTTTAATTTAAGAACATGTATTTGTTATTGCAACTTGCCACACCTTAATGTTCACGCCCCGTGTCAAAAAAAGCATTTTATTAACCTAATCTTTGGTCCTGCAGTATGAAGCGAATTCCCATAAAAACAAATCTGAGCGAACTTCAAATAAGCCGTTGTTTCAGAGAAAAGTAAATAATTTTTTTTTTTTTTTTCAGAATTATTCAAATGTAACATCTGCTGAAGTGTTTCTGGTATTAAACCGTGTAAATGAAAAGTACTTCATGGCAAGGACTGTTATATACTCCTGTGTGAATTTGAGACTTGGATAAGAGTGTTTTCTTTTAGAGCCGTGGTGCAAAATGAACATTACTGAGCCCATGTGATCGTTGACCTGTATGATCTACGGACGGATCGACAGACTCAAACTGGATAAAAAGGATTCCCAGACCTTTCCACTGACTTATCCACCAATTTCGACCAGCCGACCTCTCTGGGTTTAGACCCTTCTCATGCAGCGACATGCCACTTAAAGCTTTTGGACACCATGCCATAAACGAGGTTGATGGAAGTCTGACGTGGTCAGTTTGGATCCGCTCAGGTAGAGCAATAAATCTGCGTCTTACTGGAGGACAGCACGTACATGGCATGTCTGCTCAGATTAAACCGGAAAGTGCTGAATGGGGTGCAGATAGTTGACCATAAAACCTTTTTAATGGTTGACCAAAGAATGGTCAGTTAGAAACACGGCACTACGCTACACACCCCTTCTGCATCCTTCATCAGAAGGGCTTTACAAACTTTAACTACATAATTAAACGGATGTTGATCAAACAAAGTAGAATGGAAAACGTTTTTGCACAACAATGTTGGTGCATACTTTCCACAAAGACTGCTGTCATGAGATGCCGATGTTTAACTGGAATAACCAGTTTCTTACAAAGCTTCACCTTAGTTCATACAATGGCCTCTCCTCTCCTACCGATTGAGTCAGTTTCACAATGTCTGCTCGTCTTTTAGGGTTAGTCACCATGGCTGCTCTGTTCTTTTCAATCTAAACTTTTTTGGTACTGAACGATTATATGTACTGATCAACATTTCCATGTTAGCAGTTATTTTTCTAAATGACAAAGCATGAACATCAGTAAGACTTAAGAATAGAACTGTCAGAGCAGCTTAATTGGATTGAATCTTATTTTTGTACAAGTGTTTGAATCAGGTGCCAAAAAAACTCTTTGTTAAAGGACAAAACTCATCATTTGTCTTTTTCCATGATCCCTGGCTGTCATTATCAGTAAATCCTGCCAGACCCTTGTTAACAGCCACACCGCATCATCCAAGTGGTAAACACTGAAGTCAACAGTTGCTGCTAGTTTGCTTCACTGTAGAGATGGGGCCATATAATATATAAATATACATTTTATTGTCCTTATAGTTTGTTGCAAACCTATTGACGTTAATTCTGTGTTTCTTTCCTCCCCTTCCAACTATCTGTATTTGCAGTTCAAGCGCTGCAGTGCTACGAATGCAAATTTGGCTTGGGGGACCTATGCGCTACATCTAAAGTCACTTGTAAAAGCGGAGAACAATGCTTCAGTGGTGTTGGGGAAGCAGGTAAGGAGTAAAGAAGCTTAAATCCCACCTGACTACATTCTCAAACTAGGAAGCTCTCATGTAACCAAAGCACCCACATTCTCAAACATGCACGTGTAGCTGCACCTGCAAGACGGGTAAGTTATTTTGTAACCCCGACGCTTCCAATCAGTCGGCACTGTTTTAATAATGAAGTAAAAACATCAGAGTTGAGCCTGATGTAGTTTCTTCCTGTATACCATGCTCTATTGACTGACTGAAGTTTAAACCTAAAGTAACCGGCCACCAACTCCCAGTGCAACCATGTGATGTAGCCAACGACTCACAATGATGGAGTGTTCTCTCACTACAGTCGGCTTTGTGAACATCAAAATGAAGGGCTGTCTAGCATTGGACAAGTGCAACAAGACTGAGGACACGACCTTCCCCGGCTTCACCAACGCCACCGTCTACAAGATGACAAGGACGTGCTGCCCCACCGACCTTGGCACCGCTGCGCCCGCGCTGCGGGGTTCTTGCGGCTGGAGCCTGACCTTCGCCACCATCAATGCTCTGTTTGTGGCCCAACAACCTGGTGTAACGGGAAAGGACTGAAGACGCAAAGTTACACCTGTGTGTGTGTGTGTGTGTGTGTGTGTGTATACATGCATGCGTGCAACACCCCTTCGGCACTAGAATGATTTAAACGATCCACCTCAGACATGCTTTTCCTTTTTTTTTTTTTATGAATAGGTTTTGAAATGTCCCCCCCCCCCCGCCCCATTAATCTGTAAGCTGTTCTGCATGTATGTTGAATGTTCAAAGGATGCTACCATTAACTTGAATGTGTAGCAACTTGTTTAGACGAATCAATAAAATGTTGGGCAATAAATTGTGACTAAATTGGGTTTGTTGGCTACATCACAACATAAAGGAATAGGCCAACATTTTTGGAAATGTGCTTGTTTTGCCTTTCTTTGCAAAGATTTGAAATGGCAGATCCATAATGTCTTTTGGGTTCATTAAACGTGCAGATGTGGCCTACTGCCAGCATAGTGCAGTCGGAGGTTTAGAAATAGTAATGCTGATGATGACGTCACTAATTGACAATGTAAAAAATGACCTTTCTTTTAATGCAGAGCTAACTGACTACGTACAGGAAATATATTGCTCTTCCAGCGACACTTTGCTCGAATCTTTCACAAATAGTCAAACTATTCAGTTTATCAACTGCTTTTGACTCCCTGAATAGTCATTTCAGAGTCAATATAATCTACAGATCTCACGGCTCCATGAGCATTTATATCCATTTCACTTGTTAACATGTGTTTGCTTTATTAATGTTTAGCTAAAATAATGTATATGGTCTATTGGCTTGTGTCAGGTTTCTTCTTGCTGCTTTCATTTTGGCACAAATGGCGCCAACAGTTCTGTATTGAAGTTTTATTTTTGAATCGAAACGGTTTCAATCTAACAATCATTAAAGTTTCATTCCTGAAATTACCGCTTTGGGCGTTGTCTGAGGGAAGTGTTTTCTTCTCAATTTGTTGTGTAGACAATTTGCAATAAACATCCATTCTGGGGGGAAAAGAAAACACTAGTTGTGTATCGGCTAGCTGCCACCTTTCTTGGGCCAACTGGTTATTCAGATCTGGGTACATAACAAATTGATACTACTGCTGGTATTTAGGCACGCCTTGTGATTTCATGTTTTGGCAGAAAAGACCGTATTGATGTGAGAATCTGCATTTGAAGCAATAACTGCATGCGGATAAAGAGATTTTCAGTCATAGTGAATCTGCAAATGTATTTTTCATTCATAAATGGCCTTTCAAATGAAGTGTTCCATCTGTCAAGTGTAGTCTGTCTTTTGGGGATTTGGAGACTTTAATGGTCCGTTAGATACTCAATGTAACCAAGTATACATTGTCTAAAAGCTTGTTTTCGTAGTATATTTCAGTATTTTCTCTTCAATACTTGATACGAAAAAACCCTTGAGCTGAAGCAAGTGTAAGAAAGTCAATTTGTCATTTTCCAAGCTAAAATGCCAAATATTCTCAGGTTTTCGCGTATCGAAGGGAAACGTGATTCTCTTCTGCCTGTGTGGATAGCAAACTGAATATGTATATAATATAAGTATTTCCCTGTTTTTACAAACCAAAGCGTAAAAAGACAACATTGAAGCACAGGTGGAGTCTTAACCCGATAAACCAGCCCGGGACGTTTTCACTGCGTCACCGGATCAATCATGTGTCACATTCTCCCCCGACGTGAAGACAAAGGACTTGGGCGGTGTGGGGGGGTAGATCACCTGCTCCTGTACCCTCCCTTCACCTGTCTTTAATTGTATAAATACCCGGCCTGACCCAACAGTCTCATCAGATTTTTACCACAAACTACAGCTGGGCGGAAGGATTCTTTTTGTCTTCAAGCAGAAACCAAGGACCAACACATCAAGATGGGAAGGATTGTAATTGTGATCATTGCCGTTTTGGCATCCTTAATGCTGGGTAAGATTTTAAAATAATCATGTATGTTAAGTCTACAACATGGAGACTAGGAAGGGAAGAATTCTCTTTTCTCCTCTCCATTTTGTTAACTTTAAAATATTTGAAAATTGTTCTCTCCAATCTCACTTGATGGGCATGTTCATTTATAAAGAAGACCAAAGCACAGAAGAATTTAAACTTGCAAAAACTCAGCGTGAAAGATTCCGTTTCTGAAATATGTTTCCTAAAAGAATCCTTTACTTATAATTAAATCCCCATTTATTCCAAATGTCTGTCCATTAACACTATTAACACGTTGTAAAAAAAAAGTGAGTAAAACTAAAAAGCTGAAAACGTACAGTAAAAGGTCACCAATGATCAGCATCCTTTCACCATAAATACAAAGCCGGGATGGATTCCTTTGATGTGAGAATTCGTTTTGAGAAGCGGTTTGACGTCTTCTAACTGTACAGCAGTTCAGGGTGTGGCTCCTAAGACACTGCTGGCTACGCTAATGCGGATTTGCATTTTGCTTTTGTGGAGGGACACGCCAGAAGTGTTTGGTAGAGAAGATGAAAACATCAACCTTTTGAAAACAATCACTGGCATTCGAGCAAATGTTTTAGAAAGGTCGACCCACATTTTATTTTATTAGCTTCCCTGAAGCTGTTTTGATCACCACTCTTGATATAACATCACAATTGTTTGCTTTGTTGTTTTAACAATGTTGCTTTTTTGGGCGGGCGTTTCAGCGGATTCACTGACCTGCAACCAATGCAGCTACGGCGTGCTGGGCTTCTGCCTGTCCAACACCGAATTGGTCTGTTCGACCAACACCAGCTCCTGCTTCACTAGAAAGACTAGTGAGTCACTTTCTAACTTCCTAAAAGATTCCAACCTCAATATTCACCATATTTCCATTCAATGAAATAAAAAATGTCATACTCTTACAAAAATATTCTCGCTACCATAACATCAAAACTCAATTTGATTCATTTGATCTCGATCTCTGTGACTCTTATCGATGCAAAAACGACCTTTTCTCCTCAGCTTTCACAGGACTTACCAACGTGGGCTTCAACAGCCAGGGATGCCAAGAGCCTGCTGGCTGCAACGCCACCACGAACGGCACCGTGGTGGGCATCACCTACCAGTCCGCAATCACCTGCTGCTCCACAGACAAATGCAACCCTGTCACGGTCAGCGCCGCCCCGTCCACCAAGATGACCTTCACCGCCGTCATCGGTGTCGCCGCCATGGCCGCCATGTGGGGGAGCGTGATGTAACGTGTCTGATGCTGACAGCTCCAGACAGCTGCTTTTGAGTCAATTGGTACCACCTGAAAGTATCCAGGTGAGGTCCAAAAGACCAAAAGCACAGAAATAAACTGTCCGAACGTCACAGGTTTACAAGTGATTATCTATTTGGTCTCATGCTCCGGCACTCTTCATTTATCATTTTCATGCCACGGGCCAGTTTTTAAAATGGCAGGTTACATTAAGAAACATTTTCATCAGTCCTGGAAGTCGATCAATGGAATGTTTGCGAAAACATTGAGCTCTTAAATCTTCCGGGTTGATCTTTTTCTTTGTATTTATCCTTCTGAACTACCTTGTTTCTCACTGGAAAACATATTGATGTGAAAATAAAGAACACGGCGAAAATGTTAATTTGCTTCTGCGTGCAGTTATTCACACATCTATTCATTCGTCATTCGTCAAGAAGTCCAGCCGCCTCTGGTATATGTATATGAACAGTTGTCAACTGTGAGAGACAAATATTATTTTGGATCCTGTTTGAATTGCTCAACAAACCAAAGACCTCACTGAGTCATCTAACCAAAACCCCATTGACTATAGCAAACAACAGCAACATACAGCATGTACAGCATTGTAGGTAATGTTTTGACACCTCAATTATGGGCTTTCTGTACTTAGTGATGAAGCAATTTGAAACAAGTCAAAACAGGATACATAGTTTTCTACTCATGCCTTTCTTAACTCTGGATACGAGGAACTCAAGTAAATGAAAATTGCACTCTAAGCAGTGCTAATGCTGACCAGGCACTGAGGGGGCTCCTCCCCCAAGCACGGTTAGCATCAAAAGTAGCCAACGTAGGTAAATGGTTGAAACGTCCTCCCTTTGGGACTACAAACCTAAACATTGATGATTCAATTGTATGAAAATAATATTGTGACAATATAATGTTTTACATAATTTAGGTATAAAAATGTCCTGTTGGAAATCCATTCAAATGCCAGGTGATGGTGCTGAGTAGTACTTGAAGTACTTTAGGTCGAGGGATTTCAGGCCAGAAGGGTTGGAAACAGTGGAATGCACTGTGATATCTGTTGTCGGAATAGGTCACGTCTTACACACTTTCTTATCACGACTGTTGATGCACATTACTGATTTAACCCCCTCACCTCCACTCGCACGCATAAAGAGCTTGACTGTGAGTATTTGTTCTTCAAAAGCAAATCCTACAGCTTTTAATACAGCAAGATCTTAAGGTTTAGATAACTACAGACTCTCCTGTGGGCTTTTTGTGCCTGCAGGTAGAACATCACGATGAACTCCTTCCTCTGGAGCTGTGCAGCACTGCTCTCTCTGTTTGTAGCAGGTAGGACTTTTATTACTGTATTCTGTGAGTGTAAAACAGTAACTAAATAGGAATGTTAGACCCCATAAGATTTGAGCTTCTGTAAAGAAATAAAAGCTTGTGGTTGATTAATAACTTTGGTGAAGCTGTGACGACAGATGAAGTTCTTGACACATCCACAAAACATTGTGTAACTTTAACTGACGTGAAAGTTTTACATCCCTAAACAGCAAATTCTGTTCCCACAGTTCCCAAACTGTCACTTCTCGTGAAAACTGTAAAATAATTTCGCTAACTAAAAATTGTAGTGACTCTCCTTCAAGGTCAGTGGACTGAATTTGTGATATTATTTAACTTGTATTGCATCTTATATGACTCTGAATAGTTCTGAAGTTTATTTTTTTGGTTTGCCTGGATTTTTTAAATGGATTTCCTTCAAATTTAGCAAATAACCATAAAACAATGTTTTATTTTCATAGGATTTGGCAAAACCATTGGACGAAACACACGTCCAGTTGCTTAAA